TTCCATGGGCCCCGAAACTGTGCCACTAAACGGCTGACTCTGGCTGCAGATCCCAGGGAGTGCCCTGCATGCCCTGCTTCCCCTTCATCAGAAAGAACACTTACAGCCTAAAACATGGCTCCACAGAACCAGTGAGAACTGACACCAGACAACACCATCATCTATGGTTGGTTTTCACTCTTAGGGAACTGTCCATGGATTCCTGGCCATCTGGATAGATTGCTGAACTTTGAGCAGGACATTGGATCACTACTGGGGTCCCCTGCTAGCTCAGAGCCCTCCTTTGACCATAAGGAAGCCAACCTCAGAAAGGATAGAGCTGTTTTTTTTTTTTTCTCTGTGAAAAGGCCCATGTGGGCATTCTTTAGATTACCACTTTTGACTTCCAAATGGGAAAAATGCTTGCATGTTTTGCTCAAGCACCCCCAGTATATCTAAGTGCATTACAGTAGCACTGTGGGGAGAAGGAAGGGAGGGTGGATGTTTTCATTAGTGCCCAATACTATCATCCCTAAAGAGAGGATATGTTTGTCTTATACTAACAAATATCAAAACCTACAAGAAAGCTGGGTGGTGGGGGTGCATGTCTTTAATCCCAGCACTAGGGAGGCAGAGACACATGAATCTCTGTGCTTTGGAGGCCAGCTTTCCCTGGTCTACAGAGTGAGTTCTGGGACAGTATGGCTACACAGAGAAATCCTGTCTTGAAAAACTAAAACAAAAACCTACAAGAAGCACTGCCCATAGAGGGTCACCATCCCAGCCCGTCAACGTTGGTTGGGTGAATCCAGAACAGATCACACACTGCTGAAGCATGGTTAACAAAGCTCAGAGAGAAACTGAGGCTCAACCTGAAGATACAAAAAGCAAAGCCGCCAGCCAATGACTCCTACCTTGACCTCAGTCTGAAATGGAGATCCTGCCTCCAGGAATCTCAGAATGAGGCTGTGCATGAGAGCTGTCTCCTCCCGTTTTATAATCCTCTCTAGGACTGAGGTTAAAGGTGTGTACTGCCTGGTTTCTATAGCAACTAGTGTGGCTATGAAGATTAAAGGTACGTGTATGGTGGATACTAGGATTAAATGTATGTGTTACCATTACCTAGTCTGTATGTAAGGCTGACCGGTGGAGCTGCTTTACTCTCAGATCTTCAGGAAAGCTTTATTTGTTAAATTACAATTAAAAAGCCACTACACATTGCTTCGGAGAAAATGCTAAATGGTAATTTATAACTAAGACACTATTTTTTGAGTTTATATATGGAGTATTTTAGCACCCAGAGAAGTAAAAGGTGACACCAAAACCTGAGCGAGGTAATTAGCTAAATATTCACTGTCATTGCTCGTTGGCAAGAACATCAGCCTTTAATATTGCAAAGCGCGGCTCAGCAGAAGGACCGAAAAGCCCCGGCTACAGGAGGAGGAATGCTGAGTGCAGACAGAAATGATGCAAGCACCGTTCACATAGCCGCCCAAATACTTTCTGCAAAGATAAATAAAAAATAAATAAATAAATAAAAATTTTCCAAGAAAGAAAGAAAGAAAGAACCAATGACCTTATTTACTGGCTGCAAACAACAGCATTGCTTAGTATTTTCACAATGAAGAGGGTAGATTCAAAGTAAATTTAGGGGTAAATATGTATTTTAGAGGCAAAAATAAACAGTAGAAAATAAAGTCCATAGACTTAGAACTTCAAAATAAATCAAATAATAAAAGACACAAGAATATTAAGACCAACAGAAGCAAATTAGAAGACAGAGTAAGAAAGAAGCACACAGGCCCCCAGTAGCCACAATTACTATATACAAGCAATAAAATAGGTTCTGACTGTCGGGCAGAGGTGGCGCGCGCCTTTAATACCAACACTCGGGAGGCAGAGGCAGGTGGATCTCTGTGAGTTCGAGACCAGCCTGGTCTACAAGAGCTAGTTCCAGGACAGGCTCCAAAACCACAGAGAAACCCTGTCTCGAAAAACCAAAAAAAAAAAAAGAAAGTTCTGAATTCCTAGGAATTCGAGCAAAAGTAAGTCAGATGATAGTTTACACAGTTCTCTGACTTGACAAAAGAAAGTCTGTAGTTCAAAAGAATCTACTAAGATTTTTGTTTTTAAGGAATACATCATTCGAGTGCAAGAACACCAGAGCGAGTGTGCAGTGTATGCATGAGAGCACATTAACAAGAGAGGTTACACATAGAGCGGTGCACTACAGGACTCACAGGAAACAAGGAAAACCAAAGTAACAAAAAGAAGCCGTGAGGAAGTCTAAATATGGCCATCCGCTCCCTCTCTCCTTCTCTCCCCCCCCCCCCCCCCCCCCCCCCCCCCCCCCCCCGCCAACCCGTGTTCGCGCGCGCGTGCGCGCGCACACACACACATGACAGAAACACACAGGATCTCACCAGGGAACCTTGACATTTACAGAGATCACCTGTCTTTCTCTGCCGTGGAGTGCTAGGAATAAAAGCACACATTGCCATACTTGGCTCCAGTTTTTCAAGTTTCGAGATCTCATTAAAGAGGCCATGAACACCAGGTTTCACTGTATAAAAACCCAGAATCAGGATATGGGGTTTAAACCTGGTGTCTCCTATGCTACACCCACCTCGGTCGCTATGGGCAAACAGAAAACTTGAGGGACTTGTACAACTCTGCTCCAAATTCTTGCTGTTGTAAACGTCATCTTAGCAAGTAGAATCTGGCACAGATGGAATCGTGCTCCACGTCGGAATGGCACTGCTCACGAAAGTGCGCGCACATGGGCATCTGTCTGCGTGCTTCAGGATGTCGTCAAATGGCGCGCGGTATGTATGGACTTACCTTCAGAATCTCTTCAACGCAGTGAGCTTCATTGGAGAACGTCTGCTGCAAAGGAAATGAAGGAAAAGCTCAATGTAAAAGGCTCAACAGGGAAGTGATGACAATGGTGGGTGCAGGTGTGGATTAGCGCAGGTAGGCTTGCTTCAGGACCCGCCCTTCACAACGGAGCTAGTAACTGCACTGTAGAAGACTGAGTCAAACCACTTCATCAGAGGAACTGAGTGAGCAGGAAGCTGGAGGCACACCCACACCCACACCAAACTAAATGTGACCGTTAGGTTGAAGCTAACTGTGGACAATGTGTCTAAACAGAGTGAGAGCTGGGGACACTTGCCTGGCTTGCGTAAGTGCCCTGCTAAAGAAGGAAGGAGGGGAGGGGAAAAGAGGGGAGGGGAGGGGTGATGGAAGGGTTGATGAGAGGGAAGAGAGGGGAACATGTCAGTGAATCTAAGTGGGCAACAGGTGTAACAGAAATGGAGACAACAGATGAAATCAGGTAACACAGCTGACTAACTTACAACAACATCCAAGGATAAACTAAGAACACAGACATGGAGGTCGTCTGAGCACAACTGGAACCACTGTAGAGCCAGTCACTCATAGCTCTTCATTGTAGTTTTCTAAAACTCATCTTATGTTTAAAGGTGTGTGTGTGTGTGTGTGTGTGTGTGTGTGTGTGTGAGAGAGAGAGAGAGAGAGAGAGAGAGAGAGAGAGAGAGAGAGAGAGAGAGAGAGGTGAGTAACCTCCAAAAGCCAGCAGGATGTCAGAACCCCTAGAGCTTGAGTTATACAAAGTTGTAAGCTGCATGTCACAGGCACTGGGAATTGAACTCGGGTCCTCTGGAAGACACCTATAAACTCATAACTGCTCAGCCATCTCTCCAGCCCCTAAAAAAACTCATTTTCAATAAAAATTGAGTCTTATCTCACTTCCACCGGAAGGTTACTCTACAGACACATGCTCACCACACATTTGTACACGGGGGACAACACAGGGGTGAGGACATGACTGCCTGGGGACCGAGACCCACACTACGCATGCTTGCACTTCATCTCTCGCTAAACAGAAACAAGGACCGCCATCACAGGCAGTGCTGGAGAAACCTTAAGTACAAAGAAAACAAAGGTGACGTCTAAAGCAATTTTTTCTACATTAGAAACATGGTACACAGCCCACAATCTGCAGTTTTCCATGGCTGAGCCATCGTGCACACAGCAGCACCACAATGCCCCACGCCCTCCGTGTCTCTGCCACCCCCACGTCACACAGGTGATGATGCTCCAGTTGGTTTCCACCTCACAGAAGCAGACAGATGCAAAGCAGTCTTCCCTTGGACTCAGCAACGATTTAAAGGTGTATTATACTATAATACTGGCTGCTAATTCACAATTGAGGTTTATTAATCCAGCATTTGGTCTTGGCCTAATTTAGGAAAAATTTAAAAAAAAAAAAAGGTACAACTTTTACACCAGGCTGTAATTGAGTCTAACCGTCACGCCAAAATTCAAATGCAATGTGATCTGCCTTGGTCCATGTTCAAAACAAGTAAATACCCCAATGTTGATTCTGTGTGCATTTTTGGAGCTTGTTATTTCTGAGGCATGGCCAGGAAGTTCACAGATATGCAGATATGACCACAGAAAGTTAAGGAAACCCTACCCCATCCAACTACCAGACATTCCACCAGTCAAAAGTAACACAGTTTCCAAAAACCATCAAAAGATGTTAAAAATCTGGACCAAAAATGATAGTGCCACATTCTAGCATAAATGTCACATAAAAAACACCACAGTGTTTTAACCTGGGCACACACACTATGACTATATGCTGATTTCAATGATTGACAGCCACTGTTAGAAAGAGTCAACTGTCTCCTCCCCCAGCCTGGGGCAGGGATAAAAGTGGGAATTTGTGGCTGGCAATTAGTTAAATGGAAAAGCACGCTATGATGAGGACCAGCAAAAGGGCTTGCCCATTTGTTCCGGAACCAGAAAGAGGTGGGAAGCACTTTCCTTAGAGATAATTTCATGCCTGGGGGCTGCAGAGATGGCTCAGCAGTTAAGAGCACTGCCTGCTCTTCCAAAGGTCCTGAGTTCAGTTCCCAACAACCACATGGTGGCTCACAACCATCTGTAATAAGATCTCTTGAGGAAGAGACCTGGTCAGTCATCCTCAACTTGGAGAATAAAACCCAATATGGACAAGTTCAACAGAACCTCCATATACAAGCTGCCCATGCAGGTATTGCCAGGGCATAAATTTCATTTCATTTCATTTTTCAATTTCATGACTACAAAGTACTTAAATTGCTAAAAGAAGCCCCCTCCCCAATTTCTTACTCTGCTTTCCCAGGGACAGCATTTGATCCCCGTTGCTCTCTCCCCATCCCTGCCCCCACACACTATGAATGTGTGCCCTTTCTCCCTCACTCCCCCATGCACCACACTAGCTCAGAACCAATATTTACAAGAAAGGGCTGATGAGATGGCTCAGCAGGCAAAGGTACAAGTCTGATGATCTGACTTCACTGCCCACAGCCACATGGTAGAGAGAACCAGTCCTGCCTGCTTTCTTCCGACCTCCACATGTGTGCCATGCCATACGCACACATGCACACACTGCACACACGTCTAAATAATAAATAATTATGTGAATAAAAGAAGCTACAAGAGAGTCAGTGTAGCTCAAGTCTCTCTGGCTCCTCTCTCCCTCCAAATAAGAACCGAGTCAGAGAACTGGACAGGCTGCCCCGTGTAATAAAGTACAGCTTGGCACCTCAAAGTCTGCCACCGAAAGGAAACTTCCCAAAAAGGGAGGGGATTTTGAGCACACCGGTGCGCTAATCAGGCTCTTAAAATCCACATTCCCCCGCTGGGCTCAGGCTCTGCACTGTCATTCCTGCTGAGCAGAACCAGGCTCTCCTGGTAGCTCTTGCCAAAGAATGAACTGTCAGTCCTGGCTAGGCGAATGAGGCTCAACAGCAGATTCAAAAAAAAATTCTTATGGAACGCAAGATAAAAATAAAACAACATAACCCAAACCAATGATTGCTGATCAGGAACTCCCAACTCTCACGCTGTCTCCGCACTCCGTGTCTTTGCTCCCTAGAGCATGTCAGCAACCACCCTGCACCTCTGCTGACACTTCCCTCGTGGATTCTACACAGAGACCAACGTTCCGGCAGCCTTCCTTCCCCACTGGAGCACGGCCTTAACCCAACAGCAGCCCAGTCGATTAAGCAGAGAATAGAGCAGCTACTTACTGAAGGCATATTATACTCTGGCATACTATTATACTCTTAAACATACTATAATTTCCTCAAATTGATGCCACTGATTATAAAATTGATCACTAGGCTTGGCATGGAGAAATCAGTCCAGTAGATGTGTCCATCAGTCAGGATACACATCCCTATTTCAAACAAGCTTAAGATCAATGAAAGTGTCTCAGGGAACGGTGTGCACTATCCAATTTCATTCTCCTACCAACCACTGTGGTGGGCGGTTTTTACAACAGGCAGATGAAAACGGGGTGACACACGAGGTTTCATTCTCCTACCAACCACTGTGGTGGGCGGTTTTTACAACAGGCAGACGGAAACTGGGCGACACACGAGGTTGCACAGAAGCTCTGGAAGCGGCTGAGCCAAGAAGCTTCAAGATCCTGTTGAACTGGCTTTCCAAAGGCTGCCTGTGCCTGAGACAACACACCAGGAGACCATTGGATAAGGTGCCTGTGCCTGAGACAACACACCAGGAGACCATTGGATATGGTGCAGTGTTTCTTCATTTCCTTCTAAAGCAGCAAAGCGATTTTGGGGGTTCACATTTCACTCTCACTGCTACCCCATGCAAGTGCTTCAGACCAAAAAAAAAAGAAAAGAAAAGAAAAGGAAAGAAAGAAAGAAAGAAAGAAAGAAAGAAAGAAAGAAAGAAAGAAAAGCAGAATTCTGGCCACGTTCTGATCTCTCGCCTCCGAGAACAACACTCGGTACTGACAACAAGAAGAGCATTTCCAAATGTCTTCTGAACTTTGCTTCACTAAGCTAAAAGGAAATGAACAGAAGAAACCCCTGCCACCGAGACCAGAGGCTCCTTTCTGCAGTGCTCTGTTCAGAATCAAGTTTCGACAGGACGGCAATTTTTATAACGGCGCTGTTTTCATAAAGGCTTACCAGGAAGTGGGAGCCACAGAGGCTGGACACTGAAGAGGGGAGCCAAAAGATCCCAGCTTCTCTAGGGTGGCTTTGCTCAGGACCTGCTCAGTGATCTTGGAGAGAATTCAACCTCTTAGAACTATTTCCTTCTTGTGATAAAGGAGACTATTACCACATCTAGCCACTTCATAGGGGCAGTATGAAGTCAAGTGCACCGTCAGGGAACTTTAAAAGCTGACAGGAAGAACCAACACAGGGGATGCCCAGCGCCAACATGAATTAGCAAAGTGTTCTTTAATAATGTGCAAGCTTTTCTTCCAGCATACTGCTCCTTGGGTTGCTATCTGCTGCTTTCCTGCCCTGCTCGCTCCTTGAGGTGCGTGTCCCTGTGTCCCTGACTGGAACCCTCTCCCCTTCCCCATCACCTGTTCAACCAACCCTCAGGGGATAGGGAAGGCAGGCCCTGCTGTTCCCTTCACCGGGTTGCAAAGGTGTTCCTCGGGCCACTCCGAGAGGCATACTCTGCTGCAGACTGTCTCCCCCAAAGCTGCCTACCTTGTCACACTGAGTCTCCCCGACTTTAATCTATACTCCATTGAGCTACTACTTACTACCTCTGCTTCTTCTAGGCTACAAGTTCTGTGAAGGCAGGGGCCAGCCAACCTAGCCCCACCCCTGACTTGACCACACCCCACATTTGCTGGTGTGTTTCCATTCTTCACACTTAGAATCCTGACTTCTGGGGCTAGAGACGTGGCACAAGCTGCTTTCCCAGAGGACCTCGGCGGGACTCCAGCACCCACATCTATAGCTTCAGCGCTCTCTTCTGGCCTCTGTGGCCACCAGGCATCCATGTGATACACAAACACACATGCAGGCAAAACACCA